GCTTGCTGGCTGGGGAATTCTGGGAGTTGAAGTCCACACATCTTCAAGCTGCCAAAGTTGAAGAACACTGCTCAAGAGGACCCTGATCCTGGTCATCACCCAACAGTGGCAACCTAAGAAGCTAAAGAGAAGGGAGCCTTCAGATGTACACACTGGATCTTTAGAGAGACAGATTAATGTCAGAATTTAAATAGTCTTGAGAATATATCTTAGGTGGTCCCCGCTGCCTCTTTACAGTGTGATCTGGAGCAGTAATTTATTTTTCAACAAGTTCTTATATTATTTCCTTTTTCTGGAGGCTCAAAGGTAAAACTAAATTTCACCTAAACTAGTATTTTCAATATCTTGATTCCTAATCCACTAAGCAGAAATGTCTCCCTCAAGCACCTAAATTAATTCTCACCCAAGGTTTCTTCCTTGGGCTACCACTAGATGGAGCTGGGTTTTATTAGTAAGGAAACATTAAATGTTGATAGTTCTGCATCTAAAGGGAAAGAAAACAAAAGACTACAGTAATTTCAGATAGGTTTGGGCTGGTTTACAGCTCTTGAAGTGCTGGGGACTTAACAACTAATGGTACCACTTAAATGCCTGGAAAAACATGGATATAACTAAGTGGAAGCCAGTGAGAGCCATTGCAAAATGCTTCCGCTTAGTTGTATCTCTTGTTTATTTATAGCAGGAAGGGACAAAAGTCTCATGGCAAAGGCACTCATTTTCAGCAGCACAATTTTGCCCTTTAATCCCTCAAACCCTTCCCCATCATGCCAATTAACTGAACAGAATGACCTTGCCAGCCACCTATGTATACGTGGCATATATGAATTTATTTTTAAAATATACTATGGCATTTTCCAGTGCTTTCAGAATAGATTGAAACCACAAAGGATTTTTTTTTAAAAAAAATACAGCAATAGAATGAATTCAAAATATAAAATCAAACAAATTAACCAAGAAAATAATCCAAGGAAAATCATCTCTCCAAAGGGAAATAGACACCCAGATGAAAAACAGTCAGGCATTTTTCATTTGTAAGAGGAAGTCATTCACTATGTTTCATCATACTGTTTGTTTTACTTATTTATTAAATATAAACACTCAGTTATTATTTTGTACCAAGGAGCTGAGGGATATACGTAGCTTGCTGCTCTGCTGTGTAATCCTTACAGCAGACGTCAAAAATGTGTTAGGTTAGGAAATGGTAATTAGCAAGTTTCCCTGTTCCATTATTCAGATCTCCTCCAAACTGGGGTCCCCTGGATAAGTGGGACCTAGAATTTCTCACATCTTAGAGGCATTGGCCTAGAAAAGGCTTTCTAACCAGGATACCATGCCATTAAAGGTCTACCTATTTTGTTCTGATACAGACACTAACTTCACACAGATGATGAATGACATATGCTGTATTCTTATATTAATTCCGTTTTTGCTTCTCCAGTTCCAGAAGTTGTCTAATTCATTATACAACATTTTTCCAAATATATTCTTTATTCACTTCTCATGAGATGAACTTTCAGGCTTTGCTTGAAAGTCTGGTTTTTGGAGGAGGTGACTTGTGACAAACTGGCTATTATGTCTCAGCATCACTAATGTCCCCTACAGTGGGAAAACATCGATCCTATAAGTATCTTACAATAAACTACAGGCCGAGTTCAAAATGTTGGTTCTGCCTTTCTGATGGAGCAACTTACATTTTTGCATATGTAAACTGCAATTACTGATGGAGACTCACGCAAAGCCAGCCCTAATTTGAAGGACAAGGTTTCTGCTAAGCAAAAACCATTGGTAGGGCTGCTTTTAAGTGAAGGCTGCCTGTTTGCAAGTCATGTCCATCTTAATCCTTATTAATTTGAGGTGAGTTTAGTTAATTGTCCTCTGAACAGACTCTCTTAATTGTCCTAGCATCACATTACGTATATTCCTGGAGAAGGTGGATTGGGAGCAAATTATTCTTCCTTTTTTACCCTTCTCTCTTTAATAGTCCTATTTCACACTTAAAAACAAATGGGGAAAAAAATCTGAAAGATAACCAGCAATTAAAGTCTTGTCTACTCCCCTGGGGGTAATTAAGAAGCTACGTATCAGTAATCCTCCAGCCATAAACAATGAGATGAAATCTAAGGCCAGGACTTAATGATGGAAAGGCCCTTTGCCGAATGTATTTTTGAATAAACATTAGACAAGTCTTGGCCACGGGGAAAGATGTGGCAGGATAATGTAGCTTTATATTAAGTACTCTTTAGAATCTTAGTTTCAGTTCAGTCTGTGGGGAACTGCAGTAAAGTGATTTCTCAACAGCCCCTGTGTGGAAACCACCTTTTTCAGACCAGAGGAAGACCAGAACGGCCAACGGGTACTGCCCATCATTGTTGGCGGGGGCGGGGGGGGGGAGTTGGCTGAAGGCTGCAATGGGCTGGGTTGTGATTTTTTGGCTTTTCAGCCCAGGTTTCAAGGGGAATTTGGGGGTTTCTTTGCCTTTACTCTGTGAAACCTATTTTAGATAATTTTCCTTGCAAAAATCTTTTCGGCAATTGTGCTCTGTCCAACCAGGCTGAAATTCAGTGATGCTTTCAGAGGAAGCTCTGAGAGTTACCACAAAAAAGTAGTTGGGGGGCTGTATGCAGCCCCTAAGGCTAGAAGTTACTAAGGCAGTGAAGAGGGTTGAAGAGGGAGCCTTGCCCCTGACCTGTGCCAGGACCTAGTGAAACTCCAGGGGCTTATCCTAGATCAGTGTTTCTCAGCCTTGGCAACTGGAAGATGTATGGACTTCAATTCCCAGAATTCCCCAGCCAGCCTTGCTTGTCTTAGAGGAATAGATCCCAAACCACATTTAAAATAAAGCATTACAATTCAGGGCCTTATTTATGTTTATTATGCCAGATTGAGAATTGCTCATGAGAAATTATAATGGGCTACAACAAATAAAATAATCGATGACATTTTATACATGGATACCTGATCTCTGTATATGTTTCAAACAACATTCTGTCTCTGCCTTTTGCATGAGTAGAGCAGGGTTGTGTCTAAGATGCCATGTTCTAACACAGCTTTTCCCAGTGCAATTATGGTGCTTATGGATTCTGGAAATTATAGTTCTAATACATCTGCAAGGTTCTAGACTTCGGAAGGCTGCTTTAGAAAATGAGAACTATGTAGGAGGAAAGCCAAAAATCAGGAGTCTAGTAACACCTTTTCAGACTAGCACTTTTTATTCAAAGGCATAAGCTACAGCTTACTGTATTTCATCAGAAGCATAAAGTGACTAAACTGAAGTAGGATTTAAATTAGGAGAGGAAGGGAGGGTGGTTATGCAGATACGGACTGCATGTGAGAAAGATTACAAGTGCCTTTATCAGTTAAAAATTGTAATGAGTTAAAAACCCATTGTGTTTGTTGAAATCTTCCAAGATTGTCAGAATTTTTTTTGATATGGGTGAGTTTATCAACCTCTTGTTCAATTGTGCTGGTAAAATTTCCTTCTTCCAAAATAGCTATTTTCGTGGTCTGTATTGGAGTACCCACGGGAGGTTAAAATATTCTGATATTACTTTGTCCTTCTTTGAGTTC